ATCACTACAATCATCAGGTCGAATCCCAGGTTGGAAGTTAGAAGGCAAGAGTTACCAGGAGTGGTTATTTATGCACAGAACTCCTAGTTGCAGTCTCATGTGGCAGTGGCCACTGGCGAAGCCAGGGCTGGTCCTGACTGCGTCCAGTCAGGCCTCGGAGAGTGGACTGTCTGTTGTGTGGGGTGATGGCAGTTGCTTTAGTAGAACTGTGAAGCAAGTTCAAGTGGTTTGTGAGTGGTGCGTTGCAATTACCCGAGGGAATATCACCTGCAAAGGCTCCCTGCTGCGTTGGCCAGAGGTGACGCGTTAAGTGGCCCTTAGGAAGGCGCGCTTATAAAGCTGCGGTCACCTGTCCGGACTGCAGGAACGCCGAAGGACGGGGGAGGCTGATGCAGCTGTTATCGGTTAGCCAGAAGCAGCTGCGAGGTCAAGCCCCGGGGGGCGGCAGTGAAGGAAAGCATCTGAACAGTTGTTTGTGATGACACGACTATGGGGCAGCGAGCCTTGAAGAACGAAGGCGGGGTGGGGAGAATTATGGCACTCCGCCACACCATCACCTATCTCGGTTGCCAGTCCCTCACTAACGCTGATCAGATTTTTGGCCCCGATCCACTCCCCCCCACCAACCCTGACAAACGCACTATCTTTTCTGCCAAACCCGCATAGTTTAGTTAATTACTTACAGTATAAATGTAAGGGCCTGACGGAAATTTATCGGAAAACAAACGTATGTTTGCCAATTTGTCTTCTGAATTTTTCAATGGAAATTTTCGCAAACTTAAGACCCAACATAGCTTTAACCAATAACTCATCTTTTCCGACTAGCATAAATAAGAAACTATCGTTGGTATTCGGGGAATCCGTCTCCTCACCACAGCACATTTTGGCTGATACGAAGCAATCAAGCGTGGTATTTCAACTCGCCTAAAAAGACTATCAGATCATAGAGATGTTGGTTTATATATCGCATGCACTCTGATGGCGAATGCCCCTACATTAGAAGGCCCACCCAACTGCCGACGACCTCAGTATCTGCTCTCTTTTTTTTTTATCTGCAAACCGTTTTCTAAGATATTTTCTCACGATCCTGAGACGGGTGGCACCCAGTGCACCTGTTCCGTCACACAGCATACTCAGGCGAGCTCTCGCTCTTGCTTGTCTGGTTTCCGTCACGCGGCTGCCTACGTGTGTGCTTGTGCGTGTGCTTGTGTCAACCAATCAGAAGTGGAGTTGGATGAAGTCGCTGATGCACGCACTCAGCACGATCCACACTCAACCGGGTCCATAACCAGCTTCCTAATTAATGTCAGTCAGGCAGAAAACGCATCGTACTCAGAGCTGAGCTACGGGAAAAAAGCAAAAAGAATCCTATAGGCCTAATCCTCGCCCCCCCCCCCACCTCACGCACACACCTACGAGGAGATGATGAGTCCTAACGACGACATTCCGCCTACCGACATTCCGGCAGAAATGTATCCTGTCCCGCGTTCGTATGGGTGCTGCTGCAGGCAGCTGCATTGCAACCCCTGCTATGGCTATGGAGCCGCCGTAATGCCCATGTCCTACATGCCCGTGCCCATATCCTACATGCCCATGGTATGTTCTCCTTATACCACGGTCTGCAACACTCCAATGCCCCTACCTGTGGATTATGCCTCTTGCCGGGAGTGTGATAATATGATAGCCGAAAATGAAATGCAAGACATGCTGCGAAATGAGGAGGTTCGTCGAACTACAGAGTCAATTGATCGTAAGAGCACTTGGAGAACCAACACCGGCACTCTCAACACAGTCAGTGACTTTGAAGAGACCCAGTGGATGCCGCTGGATGAGAGCTCGGTTTTTCAAAACCATGAGCTCATGTTCAGGCGTGATTCCTCCTTCCAGAAGAGTGTGGAGCTACCAAATGGTATCATCGTCAGTCTTAATGTCGATAAACCTCAGGACACAATGCTTAAGAATGGCCAAGAAACGCAAAGTCCAGGGCAGACCTTACGACTTCACATTTACGGTAGAGTCAGACAGTGGAGGAAGTTGGAGAAGATACCCGAAGAGATTCCTTTCGAAGAGGTAAGTCCGGCTAATTTGATGTAGGTTTAGAACTCTTTCGATGCACAATATGTTCGTACATTTTCACTTCCCTAGATTTACTCATTGCATCGTAAAACCGCCGTCTCAGTAAAATTGTACTTTCATCAGTCATTTCTGACATGCAGTTGCAATTCAGTCAAAACTTTTGCCTAAACTTGAAACTTTTTTTTATAAAAAGGAGGTCAGAGAGGCTCTAGATGGTTAACATATGAAGCAGTTAGCGTTATGTCCAGCTGAAAAAAAAATGGCGCTTCCAGATCGAAAGTATCAACAGAGTCTATAAAATGCTTCCTTTTGGAGTTACTTGCAACGGCGAGGTACCGATGAGTTCAAGACAGACTTTCGTTCAGTTCGAAAAATTGAAAAATAACTCAGCCCATAGTTACATTATTACTTACGCAGTCTAAGTTTAAAATTCGCTATATATATGCCGGTTTTAAAGCACGAACGAACCTCAGTTTCAGGAGGTGTCTGTGGCCCATCTGGTAAACATCAGTGGTGCATCATCTGTGTCCCGCGCGTGCACATGTTTGTGCACATTTTTCGTGGTCAGGGCTATAATTAGCTCAATGAAGGCAGAAAAAACCCGAACCAGTTTTACATCTATCTCTGCCCATGCCCTGTCTTCTTTCTCTTTAAGATGTATATATATATGATTGCTTTCTTGATTATTATCTGGAGGTCATTTACTGGAAACCGCGTAGAGAACGTTGGGGGACCCACTGAAGAGCCGAACCCCTCGTTGCTGCATCATGCAGCAGCAGAAACCTCGGCGAAACACGTGTCTGGGCTTTTGGCTAGTATCTATGTGGAAGTACGCTATAACATCATTAGCATATATCTTTATGACAAAGATATTGTACCGTACCCTCGATATTGGTAGTAGCTAAAAGCTCTTACACGTGTTCCACCGATGTCTCTGCTGCTGTGTGATATTGCAAGGAGGGGTTGAGCTCCACAGTGTTTATGTATACAACAATGTTTGTTTGATGCTCACTGAGCGGTTGCAGAAATAATGTGTGGCCTTCTGCCTTGGGGCCCTCTCTTGACCAGCAGCCATATAATGACTAGTTCTGTAGGAAGAAGATTTTCTAAGTAATAATTGGGAAAAGGGAGGCTTGATCGCCGGGCCAGCGAGGTTTTGAAGGTTCGAATTATGAATTTGACTAGGCTCAGAGGCATAAATTGAGGCCTTACCCCAAGAGTGTAAATGATTAAGGCCTTCCTTCCCACGATCCAGTCTGACATCTCTCGCATATGAACCCCTAACCAGCCGAATGTGAAAGCTTTTACCTGTACCAAGGTGAAAAGAATATTTACAAACAATCCTTGATAAGCTTTTGGAACTAAAAGACTACTTTTATAAGTTTGTAAACTTACTTGCTGTAGAACATAACACCAATCTGGTTTCTGCGCTTCTAAAGCTAATTTTGGAAAAGGCATCGCCACAACCACCTGTAAAAATTACATTCGAAGTATAGGACTGCATACGTTACGCTTTTTTCCGGGTAATTTTTCACTTTATTCATAAATTGGCCTATATCTGCTAGAACTAAAACAGAAATAATTCCGTATGTAACGTCATTTCACCGGTAAGTGCGTTTTCCCGAAACTGGGCCCTTGATGGCGAAACGGATTTGGTTTATTTAAAGAGAACGTGTAAATACTTCAATTATACGCACCGATTTAGTTATTCAGGTGGCTTAACATCCTCGAGTTCAGTAATATTGCCCCACAAATACAGGATGTTTCAAAAAATGTATACACATTTTAAATAACTGTAAACTAGGTGTTTAGTCTAATTTTATTATTTCAAAAATGTAAAATTATTTACAAGCATTATTTTATTGTTTTTTCACTGCAATTTGACTTTATTTTAAATAAATGTATTCGAGAGAAGTCATTAAACATGAATGCGCCCAACTGCCGAGGGAATATTTTCATAGTGTGTGATTTCATTGCTTCGCGTTGTCACCAGTGTCTGGATTAAAACGGACTTCAGTTTCAGAACATGCAGTGAAAAACAATAAAATGATACTTGTAAATAATTTTACTTTTTTGAAATAATAAAATTAGAATAAACACCTAGTCGGTATTTAAGACTATATATTCACTGCAATGTACTATTTACAGTAAGGGTTTTCATATAGGAAAATGCCAGTTAAGAAGAGATTCTTTCAAAGCAGCTTGAAAACTTTACGCTTCCCAAGTGAAGGAAACCCCGAAAGAAACACACTGGCTAACTGGAATTGCAAAGAAAACTTATTATTTTGTCCGTTGTAATTGCCCATGCCACAGTAAACTTCATACTGTGTAATTGAACGACAAAAGACGATCGCAAGTTAAAACCAACGGTTCAGCGTTCATGTTTGTAAACCATTCTGTCTGCGCTGTGGTTAAAATCAGGAAATAAAACCCATCACCTTCAGAAAAGCATATGTTCCCTCTATTTTAATGCAAAAGGCTTAACTAGGGGCTAGTTAGGTTTTCCTCTGGTCATTTACAATAAGAGTATTACACGATGCAGAGTGTACACCAGTGCACAGATTTAAGCCAAATTAAATTGGCTAAACCATATTGCTGATCTGCAAGGGGTAATTTATTTGACTGGTTTTGTTCTACATTGTTTCTGTGTTTCAGCATGGACTTTTACCAACGTTTTCCATAAGATCAGCATCAGATAATTTACGTTGCTGTTGTTTTTTACCATAATTATTGATCATTTATTGAAGTTTTGTTTAAGTCGCGGATTTCTGAAACTATATGGAAGTCTGAAAAGATTTTAAGTACTGGCCTCTTGTAAAATATGTTTGCATAAATGGTTTCTGGCTGGAAAGAAAATGTTCATCACAACGTGATTTTATCTAAAATATATCCAACCAGTGCTTCTGTTTACTTGGAACGGATGTAGGAAAGATGACTCAATACGGTTTACTAAATTTGGAATCGTGCTTAGCTTAGTTGCCTATAACACGCCAACTAAGGCTCCATAGTTCTTGAGAGGGAGAGAGAGGGAGGGAGGGAGGAAGAAATACGCTTTACTTAGAAGGTAAATATTCAAAATGTTTAGCAAAAATTGCTCCATTCACTGAGACTAAGGAGGAAGGTAATAAAATAATCAAAATTTGGAGGTTAACATGAAATCCGGATCTATTATGGAGACAGGTCTCCTTTAAACTTCTGAATTTCCGTTTATTTACGCGTAAGGTAGCGTGCTAGGAATGAGAATACAGAGTGCTGATATACGGATGTACGATAAGACATATATCGGAAACTTCGGCGCATAGTACCAGGAGACTTCGCAGCCATTAGTTCAGAGTAAAGTGGATGAGCATTCTCATCAAGAATGTGATCAGAAAATTGCTTGACCGTACTAAAGTGTCGCTGTGTTATAATATCAGCTTAAAAAATATAAAAAACATCGGCAGCTGAAAAGAGCAGTCAGAGAATACGTTTAAAAATCAGTAGGTCTTTTTGAAACAAGGCTGAAACTTATAACCGGAGAGCAGGCTTAATAAAAAACACAAGCTGAAAGAATTCTTCTATGCCAAAAGCCCATTAATCTAGGAAAGCACCATAAAAAATAAAAACCCGAGAAACGAAAACTCAGGTGCAACGTGAAGAAAGCTATGCCGGCGCAAGCAAACAACCCGACCCCCTGCTGATTGAAATGCTGAAGTTAGCCTATAGCAGGAGAAGTTAACATGAGCAGTTGACTGACACTTTATCTCTCCCCCCCCCTCCTTCGTGTGAAAAACCGACTCACTAAAACCAGGGTTCCATCCTTTTCACGATCAAGACCTTTGTAGCTGTAATCAGAACCAAGCATGGCGTGCTTGCCTTAGACTCGCTGGTTTTCGGGTCGCCACCACTGAATAAGCAGTCATCCATCGAAGACCTCGATGCCCCACGGATAGATTGGTTTTCTCGAAATATCCCTTGAGTTCTGCATCTGACCTTCTTGCCAAAGGCCAGTAAGCAGGTAGCTATCACATTCACTAGCTCAAACTAAACCTGTGGATAAAAAAACCAGGCAACAGTACTTTATGTAGTGCACCTAATTAATCCCTAGTAACAGCATTTTGTCCAACGAAAACGGTGATCATGGGGTTTTATGGGTGGGGAATTAGCATAGGCAGTCGAATATAGTTTAATAACTGCTATATGCCTTTTTATTTTATTGTACTTAGCAATGTTGTTGATCTACGTCTGTAGATTTTCCTGATCTGAATTATTATCCTTTAACGTATGGCGGAAGGAAACTGATTATCAGACTGCAGGTTTCTTGAAATTCCTGAAAAATAGACATGATGGTTAGGAGGTCACCTACTTCACCTTACCTGAAATCCAACTTAACGTTCTAGAGTTAGATTAGTATAGTCCGTAGCGCGAAGCGCCGCGCACACCTTCAATTTACATGCGGAACAATTTACTCCTAGAGGCCGAGGGAAACAAATTCGACTTCATTTATTCCCTTTGCACGTCTAAAACTTTCTTTCCCTGCCTATCCTATTTTGCCTACCCCAAAAACCCTTTAACCCCCGTTTCCGTAGGACAAAGTGCTGGAACTAGGGACATATATAAAATGCACTTTATAAACAACTTTTGCCAAAACTCACCTACAAATGCCAGATCGGTATAAGGCATCATCGCGAATCGC